GCTGTTGCTGCTGAGGATGAGGATGCTGCTGCTGCTCATGATGATGAGGGTAATGATGATGCTGATGATGGTGATTATGGTGACGATGGTGATGCCCGTGATGATGATGCTGATGGTGATGCTGCTGATGCTGATGATGATAACTGTGATGATGAAGCTGCTGCTGATGATGACGATGATGGTGATGCTGCTGATGCTAGTGTTGATTCTCATGCTAATATTGATGCTGATGCTACGGCTGATGCTGCCGCTGATGATGCTTATGATTATGATCATCCTGATGACGATTATGACGATCATGATGAGGAGGAGGAGGACGAGGAGGTTGGATAAGGGCAGGAGGAGACGCATGATGATTAGCCGATGCTGATGATTATGATGATGCTGCTGATGATGCTGCTGCTGATCATGATGAGGAGTCGGATGCTGATGATGATGATGATGATGGTGAAGATGATGATGATAACGATGACGATGACGATGACGATGAAAATGATGATGATCATCATGATGATGCTGATGATGATGGTGATGTTGATGATGCTGGTGATGCTGATGATGATGGTGATGTTGATGATGATGCTGATGATGGTGATGATGATGATGATCAGCATGATGATGCTGATGATGATGGTGATCGTGATGTTGTTTCTTCTGATGCGGATGATGCTGATGAAAGTGGTGGTGAGGATGCTGCTGATGATGATGGCGATGGTGAAGAAGATGATGACGATGAGGACTACGACGATGATGATGATGACGATGTTGATGATGACGATTATGATGATGATGATGGTGATGATGATAATGATGGTTATGATGATGATGCTGATGATGATGGTGATTTCAATGATTATGATGCGGAGGATGCGCTGATGATGATGGTGGTGAGGATGATGATGATGGTGATGATGCTGATGATGATAATGGTGAAGAAGAAGATACTGATGATGCTGATTATCATAATGATGATGCTCATGAGGATGAGGATGAGGATGACGAGGATGAGGACGAGGATGAGGATGAGGAGGAGGATGCTGATGGTGATGATTTTGATGATGCTAATGATGATGATCGTGGTGGTGATGATGATGCTAATTGTGATGCTGATAATGCTGATGATGCTGCCGATGATGCTGATGACAATGCTCATGACGATGATGATGATGATGATGATGATGACGATGATGACGAAGATGCTGCTGATGATGATGGTGATGATGGGCATAATTATGCTCATGCTGATGCTGATGATGATGATGACGATGATGATGACGATGCTGATGATGATGACGATGATGATGATAACGATGTTTTAGATACTTACGGTACTGATTGTGATGATGATGTTGATGCTGATGTTGAGTCTGATTATGCTGATGCTGCTGCTGATGCTGAGTATGCTGGTGCTGATGGTGATGCTGGTGATTATGTTGATGCTGATGATGATGATGATGATGATGATGATGATCATGATGATTCTGATGATGATGGTGATGTTGATGACTATGCTGCTGCTGATGATGATGATGCTGATGATGATGATGATGGTGATCGTGATGCTGAGGACGATTCTGACGATGATGATGCTGGTGCTGATGATGCCTCTGCTGCTCGATGAGGAGGGGGAGGAGGAAGAGGCGGAGAAGGAGGAGGAGGAGGATCCACGCGATGATGATGGTGATGACGATGATCATGCTGATGATGATACTGATGATGATGATGATGATGGTGATGATGATGCTGATGCTGGTGCTGATGTTGATGCCGACGGCGATGCTGCTATTGCTGCCGATGGTGGTGAGGTGATGATGCTGATAACGGTGATGATGATGATGCTCATGCTGATGATGATGCTGCTGATGCTGATTATGATTATTCTGATTGGGATGATGATGAAGATGATGCTGGGGATGATACTGATGATGATGGTGATCATGGTGATTCTGATAATGATGATGCTGGTGTTGCTGCTGCTGATGCTGATGGCGATGACCATGGCGATGATGATGATGGTGATGATGATGATGATGATGATGCTGAGACTGATGATGTTGATGATGATGCTGATGCTGACGATGCTGATGATGATGCTGGTGATGCTGATTATGCAGGTGGAGACGCTGATGATGATGCTGATGGTGCTGCTGATGCTGCTGATGATGATGATGATGGTGATAAGAATGATGATGATGATGATGATGATGATGCTGATGATGCTGGTGGTGGTGGTGGTTGTAATGCTGTTGCTGATGCTGATACTGATGCTGATGCTGCTGCTGTTGCTGCTGCTGGTAATGATGGGGTGAGGACGATGATGAGCATGATGTCGAAGATGATGCCGGTGATTATGATGATGCTGATGATGCTGATGTTGGTGATGATGATGATGATGCTGATAGTGGTGATGATGCTGATGATGACGACGCTGATTATGATGGTGGTGGTGATGCGGATGCCGACGATGATGATGGCGATGATGCCGACGATGATGATGATGCTGATGATGGTGATACTTATGATGTTGTTGATGGTTCTGGTGCTGGTTATGATGATGCTACTGAGGGTGATGGGGCTAATGATGATGCTTATGGCGATAATGCTGATGCTGCTGCTGATGATGACGATGCATGTGACGATGACGATGATGATGGTGATGATGATGATGAGGATGATGATGCTGATGATGATGATGGCGGTGATGCTGATAATGCTCATGACGATTACGATGCTGATGATGCTGATGCTGCTGATGATGATGATGCTAATGATGATGATGATGATGATGATGATGATGACGCTGCTGATGATGGTGGTGGTGCTGCTGCTGTTTCTTATGGCGCTGATATGGTGTTGCTTCTGGTGATGCTGATGATGCTGCGCATGCTGCTGATGAGGATGATGGCTGCGATGGTGCTGGGAATGATGATGCTGGCGGTGGTCGTGGTGATGATACTTTTGACGATGCTGATGCTGCTGCTGCTGATGATGATGATGGTGATGATGACGATGATGATGATGATGCTGATACTGATGATGACGATGATGCTGATGATGCTGAGGACAATGATGATGATGCTGATGCTGATGTTGATAGTGGTGATGCTGATGATGACAATGATGGTGATGATGGTGCTGATGATGGTAATGCTCATCATGATGTTTATGATGCTGATGATGGTGAATATGCTGATGCTGATACTGATGCTGATGATGCTTATGCTGATGATGCTGCTGATGCTGCTGATGATAATGATGATGGTGATGGTTGTGATGATGTGGATGATGATACTGATGATGCTGATGCTGATGAGGATGATGATGGTGATGAGACTGATGATGATGATGATGGTGGTTGTGGTGGTGGTTGCAATGCTGTTGCTGATACTGATACTGATGGTGATGGTGGTGATGATGGTGATGATGACGATTCTGATGATGATGGTGGTGATGATGGTAATGCTCATGGTGATGATGATGCTGATGATAAAGATGCTGATGCTGATGCTGATGATGTTGATGATGCTGATGCTGGTGCTGCTGCTGATGATGATGGTGATGGTGGTGCTGATGATGATGAGGAGGAGGAGGAGGGGGAGGAGGAGGAACAAGAGAAGGAGGAGGAGGAGGAGGAGGAAGAGTTGCAGAAGGAGGAGGAAGGGGCAGAGGAGGCGGAAGAGCAGGCAAAGGAACAGGAAAAGGAGGAGGAGGCGGAATATGAGGAGGAGGAGGAGGAGGAGGAGAAGGATGAGGGGAAGGAGGAGGAAGAGGAGGAGGAGTAGGAGGACCAGTGTAAACCCAAGAGTCATCAACAATGTTGGAATTCACCCTCCCTCCAAGCTTCTTTTTCATAGGCCCCTACAACGGCTCATTTCCATTGAGGGAACTGCCTCGTTGGAAGACAACTGTTTGAATACCTTGAAGCATGACAAAACATGGTTCTCGGGATTTCCACCCCACGGATCAACCTGGCTGCTGCGTCCTGACGATCTGGAATCGTGCCAGATAGCCATTGTTGGGACTTCAGCATCGCGAATCAACATAACTGCTACACCCGCATAATCCAGAATCCTCCCAAAGCACCATTACTGGTACGCTGATCATGGGAATCCGTGAACCTCTTGCAAATATTTACAATGGATGTGCGCGGCGCCGAGGCGAGAGCCACATTTTGAAAACGACCCGCCCTCGATCCGTGAACCTCTTGCAAACTTTTACAACGAATGCGCGCTGCGCTAAGGCGATAATCACACTTTGAAAAGGAGCCACCCTAACTCCGTGAAGCTGTTGCAAATGTTTGGAACGAATGTGCGCGGCGCTCAGGCGAAAGCCACATTTTGAAAACGGCCCGCCCTCAATCCGTGAAGCTCTTGGAAATGTTGAAAACGAATGTGCGCTGCGCTAAAACGAAACCCACATTTTGAAAACCACCCGCCCTTAATCCGTGAAGCTCTTGCAAATATTTGAGAAGGCTGTGTGCGGTGCTAAGGCGAGAGCCACATTTTGAAAACGACCCGCCCTCCATCCGTGAAGCTGTTGCCAGCTTTTAAGCTTCATAATCAGAGATGAGGGGAAAGTCTCAGGCGAATCGCACGGCCCGCTCTAAGAATTAGCTTCCGGGTGCGACAGGGAGAAATTACTTATAAGGAAAAGGAATGGAGGAGGAGGAGGCGGAGGAGGAGGAGGAGGAGGAGGAGGGGGGGGGAGGGGGGGGGAGGAGGAGGAGGAACCCAGCGCCTAGCCGTTTGGGCTGCATCGTGCTTCCTACCTCAACCGCCACTTGGCGTTTGCGTCCCCCTCCTTGGGCTCCTCCTCCTCCCCCCCCTCCCCGCCTCGACCGCCACTTGGCGTTGAGTCGTCCCCCCCCCCCGTCCTCGTCCGCCCCCACCCCTCCCTCCTGATCTAAACGCCATTTGGCGAGAATCTGTTCCTTTGCTCCCTCCTCCCTCCCCTCTCCCCCCTCCGTTGCCTCAACCGTCATTTGGCGTTGAGGCGCTCCCCCTTCCCTTCCCTTCGTTCTCCCTTCCGCCGCGCCCCCCTTCCTCTCCTCTTTCCTCCCTTCCCCTCCCCTCTCCCTCTCTCTCTCTCTCTCTCTCCCCTTCCGTTTTTTTTCCCTCCCTCCCCCGTCTCTTCCGCGTGGTGGCGGGTAGTATTTGGTGGAGGGGCTCGACTTCTACGCGGCCCCTCAGGTGGCCGTGGCGACCGACGGCGCGGCCTGCCCGCTCCCCTTCAAGCCACCAGGACTGCCCGCGCATTCGCGAGGGCGTGGGCAAAGGGGACTGGGCCGAGCAGGTGGCGCTTGCCCGGCCGCCGACCGCCGCCCAGACGCGCGCGCAGCCTGGCCATTCGGCGCGGGGTTGGGCGCGGCACTCGCTGCCGCTCGTGGGGGAACGTGCCGGGACCTGCTTTGCCCGGAGCAGGCCGAACTCCCCACTCGGGGTTTTCAGTGCCAGAACCAGAACCAGGAGGAGGAGGGGGAGGAGGAGAAGGAGGAGCAGGAGGAGGAGGAGGGGGAGGGGGAGGGGGAGGATGAGGAGCAGGAGGAGGAGGAAGAGGAGGAGGAAAAGGAGGAGGAGAAGGAGGAGGAGGAGGAGGAGGAAGAGGAGGAGGAGAAAGAGGGAGGAAGGGAGGATGATGCGGAGGATGGTGATGATGAAGAGGAGACTGAGGGAGAGAAGGAGGAGGAGGAGAAGGAGGAGGAGGAGGAGGAGGAAGAGGAGGAGGATAGGATGAGGAGGACGACCAGAGTCAGGAGGAGAAGGAGGACCAGTGTAAGCCCAAGACCCATCAAAAATGATGGACAATCCCTCCCTTCAAGCTCCCTCTTCGCGTGTTCCCGCAAGGGTTCATTTCCACTGAGGGGGGTGTCCCGTTGGGGGGCAACCGCGTGAACATCCTGGGCAGCGCCGGCGCCACGAATCAGTCAGACTTTTTTGCGTCTTGGCGATCCTGGCTCGCGCCAACAAAAACCGTTCCTGGGACTTCAACGCAACGACTCCAACGCGCCATTTGTGCTTCGTTAACCAACAGCGTCAATGAAACGCTTGCACTGGTGTAGAACGAATGTGTTCGGCGCTAAGGCGAGAGCCACATTTTGGAGAGGGACCGCCCTCAAATTGTGAAGCTTGCATACATTCTAAACAAATGCGCGCGACTCTGAAGTGAGAGCCGCATTTGGAATACGACAACGACCCGCCATGAATCCGTGAACCGTTGTCAAATTTTGAAAACAAATGTGCGCGGCGCTATAGCGAAAACCACATTTTGGAGAGGGGCCGCCCTCGAACCGTGAAGCTTTTGTACCCTCTAAACAAATGCGCGCGGTGCTGAGGCGAGAACCGCGTTTGAAAACGACCTGCCTTCAGTCCGTGAAGCTGTTGCACACGTCTAATCGAAGGTGCGCAGCGGTAAAGCAAGAACCGTATTTTGAATAGGAGCCGCTTCCAATCAGTGAAACTATGGTATTTTTAGAACGTGTACGCGGCGCGAACGCGAGATATTCATGTGGAAAACGACCCGCCATCAATCCGTCAAGCTCGTGCGAAGTTTTAGATCGAATGTGCGCGGCGGCAGGGCGAGAGGAACCACATTTTGAAAGCGACACGACCTCAATCAGTGAACCTCGTGCATTTTCTAAACGAATGTGCGCGGCGGTAAAGCGATAACCACATGTTGAAGTGACTCGCCCTCCGTATGTGAAGCTGTCGCCAGTTCTTAGGTTTCATCATCATCAATTGCGAGGGCGTCTCAAGCGGAACGCCCGGCCCGCCCTTCCGATTGGCCCCGGGGTGCGACAGGGAGGAGGTATCCAGAAGAAACAGGAATCGAAAAGGAGGAGGAGGCGGAGGAGGAAGGGGAAAAGGAGGAGGAGGACGGAACTACCATGATATCCACACACCCCTGGTCCTCCTCCCCCTAGTCGTGCTCCTCCAGCCGCTGCTGTTCGTACTCGTCCTTTTCTTCCTCCTTCATCCTCCTCCTCCGTTTCGTTCTGATCATGATGGTGGCGCGAGCGCACCCAGCCCGTCCTCCTCCTCCCCCTCCTCCTCCTCCTCCTCCTCCTCTTCCTTCTCCTCCTCCTCCTCCTCCTTGTTCTCCTCATCCTCCTCCCGTTTCCCAGTCCTCCTCCTCCTTTCTTCCCCTGCGCTCGCCGAGAGGATCCCTTCAGTTCGATGGAGGCCTTCGACGACGACGAGCTCGCCGCCACCTCCGCCGACGTTTCGCTCGCGCAAAGGGGCTTCGTGGTCCAGAAGTCCAAAGGTCCTCCGCCCTTTTCCCTGCTCCTGCTACTGCTGCTGCTGTTGCTCCTCCTCCTCCTCCTCCTATTCCTCCTCCTCCTCCTCCTCCTCCTCGTCCTCCTCCTCCTGCTCCTTCTCGTTCTCCTCCTCCTTCTCCTCCTCCTCCTCCTCCTCCTCCTCCTCTCTCTCCGTAGCCAGTTTGGCTCAAACCATTTTGGCTCAAGGCATATCGTTCGTTTTCGATCTCCCCAGGACTCGTTCGATAACCAAAGCCAGAGTTTTACTCCATGTCCACCGCCTCGTGCCCGGCTCGTCTCTGGAGCCGATGTGGCTCGTGACACTACTGTGAACGGAATGATTTGTTTGCCCGTGCTCAAAACGTCAGCGGATGCGGCAAAACAGTCAAACCGTTCGCTCCGAAATCCAAGAAGCAGGCCGATGCTGGTGGCGCGGCCGAGAGTTCTGCGCCATGGCACGACAAGACGTCGGTGACGGATCAGTTGTTGGCGGCCGCTGCGTTCTCCCAAGGCCCCGACCTCACGCCGGCGCTCAAGGCACGCGTCGACGCCTTGTCCGCGGAGGCCCAACCGAAGGCCGCCCCCCCGCTTTCGGCAGCCGACACGGTCTCCAAGGCCGATGGGGTCTGGAACGATTGCAACAACAAGCGCGATCAGGCGGTGGCCAACGACGTCAGGCTCAAGACGGCGTTGGCGACAGCAGAGGAAAAGGAACGGAAGACGGCTCATGCCTAGGCTGCTGCGGAGTTCGGCAGGAAGCAGGCGGCGCAGGCGCTGGTGCGGGCCGCTGGGCTAACGCGGCCGCCCGCGGCCGCCGAACCCGAGACCAAGCCGCTGTTCGAGGTGTCGTGGGGGCACTGGCCTGTTCTCCGACTTCGACGCGATCGAGGTCGAGGCATCGGAGAAGGAACAGCTACAGGCGATCAAGGATGAGTTCGAGAGGATGCAGGCTATGTTCGCGGCCAAGAACGTGGAGGTGAAGTCGTGGCTGGACAAGGCCGCGCAGGTCAAGCGCGACATCACCGCGCGCTTGGCCAAGAAACAAAGGGGTGCGGAGCCAGCTGCCAGTGGGGGGGGCGACGGCTCCAGCGGCACCAGCAGCGGCGTGGAGGTCAAGGAGGAGCAACAGGCCAGCAGCCCTGAGCAGGCGCAGGCTATCGCTGAAGAGGCGGCCCGCCTGTCGGCGTCCAAGTTCGAGGCGGCGGCGAAAGCTGACAGCCAGGAGAAGGCTGCGGGCAAGGGCGCAGCCAAGGGTGCCAAGGTGCAGGCCTGACGGCCAGCGCCTGGGGCCGAGCGCCCCGCTGGGGCGGAGGCGCCGTGCTGCCAGGCGCCAGTTGTGCCCGAGCCCGAGGGCGCGCTGGGGATCAGCCGCTTCTTTTTCTGCAACGTTACGGCCATGGGCGATCGTGCCTGGGGCCACCTTGGGCTCGTCAGCAAGACGCATGAGTACTTTGGGATGGACCCACGTTCCTGAGTCGCAGCTTTGTAAATGTGATGCTCGTGCTCGTGCTGCAGGGCTTAAGCTCATACCAAATGGAGCTCGACCCAGCGGTCGACATCAATCTTGCGCTACTGCCGACAAGGCCAACGAGGGGGGCGAGTGGGTGCTCGCGCGTGGCCATTAGCAGGCAGCATCCCTGCGTGACGCCACGTCGTCTTCGGCCTTGAAGGAGCCAGGCTCTCAGGCGTTGGATGGTTTCATCGCTTCGATCTTCCGCTTCAGGGCTATTATGAGGTCGTCTGCGTGTGCTGCGGGTTCACATCCGTCGGCCTCTCGGACCGCAACCTAGCCTTGTTCCATCTTCTCGGAGGGCTTCTACGTGGGCTTCGTCTACCGCGGATTTGCGTGGGCGACTGGAACGTGGAACCTCGCGTCATCCAGCGGTCGGGCTTCCTGGACCAGGTCGTCGGCCGCGTCGTCACCCCTGAGGGGGTCTCGCGCGCGTGCGATGCCAGTGAGCTGGGGGGGGGGGGGGGGCATGCTGGACTACGCCATCGTCAGCGAGGCCGCCTTGCCGTACATTCTTTCGCTCCAGCCGCAGTTGGGCGTTCCATGGAGGCCGCGCATCGGTCTATCACTTCATCTACGCCTCAATGGGCAGCAGCTCCAGACCATGCGACTCCTCTGCGCTAGTTGCTTGCCGCGGGTGGTTCGCCCGTGCACTGCGCCCGCTGTGGGCTCTAGGTCTTCTGTTGCCAAGCGCAGCCGTCGTCTGCAGCGGGACGTTTCACGAGTGGCCCGCAATGGGAAAATTGCAACTTGGTTGGAGATCACACGGGGATTCCTTCAGCTTGTCAACAGGCCGAGCCTCGCAGTACAGATCAGATGCCACGAGAGTTGCAGTCTGCTCAGTTCGAGATTTCGAGGCCGAAGCCTGGCCCGATGGGGAAGGGGATCCGCGGGCTGATCAGGCCAACTTGGCGAGCGCAGAGAGCGCCAGCAAGAGTGAAGCGTCATCGGTCATCCGCGCCGTCGCACCCCATGATTGCAATGCTGCCAGCCTGTCCCCCACCGACGGACGAGGCTCGCCCTCCGCTCGCGGGCAAAACGGCGGTGAGGGCCTGACTTTCATTTGTATGTCAGGCAATTTTCGCCCTGGCGACCGAGGTTTGACCTCAGTTCGCCGGCAAAGCGTCGGTGGGGCCAGCTTCGCTTGTGAAGGGGGCGCCAGTCGCAGTGAAGCGCCATCGGTCGTCCGCGTCGGTCCATCGCATGGTTGCCATGTTGATTGCCGGCCTCTCTCTGCTCGGCCTCGCTCTGCTTCGGTCGAGTCTGATTCAGTTGACGCAGTCAGTTGCGAGTCCCCTAATAGTGTCAGCGTGCAGAACCCCCTTCCCAGCCAGAGGATGCACGTCGCACGAAGCCCCCCTTCTAAGTTCGGAAGTCCCGTCTGACAAGGTTGAGCCTTCGTTTTGCATCCCCAGTGATTTGTGGGAGCAGTGCCGCGTGCAAAATCAAGGCCTGTCTGTGGGGCCCTCGCCTGTGTGCTTTGCCTCGTCAGTAGCCTTTAGGCCCAGCCCACAGCATGTTGGCTCCGTAAGTTCTTGGCGCGGCCATGGGGTTCGCACCCTAGAGCAGGCCATTTACGAGCACCATCAGTCCTCGCAGCCTGGAGGTCCCAGCCGAGCTGAATGGCGCCGTTTCGTAATCGAGACAGTCGAGCATTCAGGGCGATCTCGTGAAACCCCTCTTCGTGATCGCATCGCTTCGTGGTGGCAGAGAGTTTCGTCTGTTCTCCAGCAGATCGTTCGGCGCCTGGGTCGGGGCAGCGGCTGGCGGCAGTTGGTTCAGCTGTGCGGTGCTTGCAGGCGTCTGGTAGAGGACCGACCTGACCGCGTGGGGCGCGTCCTTCGCCCTGGTGTGGAGCCCACCTTAGACGAGTGGGTCAGCCCCCTGCGCAACGCTCGGGGGTGCACGCCCCATGTCCTGGAGGGCTCCTCCCAGCGCGGCGAGCGAGTTGAACGGCGGGCGCGTCGTCGTGCGGTGCGTGTGTCCTTGCAGGAGTTCAAGGGCTGGCTCGCGGCCCAGGCCTCCAGGGGTGCAGTCTACCGCTCCTTGGAGGAGGGGTCCTTGCCCAAGCAGGAGGTTGCTGTGGCGCTCAACGCGTTGTCGAATTGTCGAATCCTCGGGGCATCTTGGACGCCGAGGGGGCCCGCTGGCAGGCGATCTGGAGGCGCCGACCTGAGGAGGCCAGCCGGCTGCAGGACGCGGTTGCGATGGCGTCTGAGGCTGCGCGAGATGGAGGCGAACCCGGGCATGGGCGTGGACCGCCTGGCGCCCGTGGACACCGAGCGCGTCCCCGACCAGGGCTTGGCGGAGCTCGCTGATCTTTGGAATTATATTGAAGCCGCTCTCGCGTGGCCACACCAGACACGGCTGATCTTGGGGAAGCTCCTCCCCGGGAAGGCCCATGGCGACGCGGTCGTCGGGCCGGTGTCGATGACGAGCCGCCTGTGGTCAGCTGTCCACGAGGAGCACGCGCGAGAGTGGGCCAGTGTGACGGAGGAAGGCTGGCACGCAGCGGCCCTAGGGCACGCCTCGCTCCAGGGGGCCTTTCACCGCGCCCTCGGGGGCGAGGTGGCAGCTGCCGTGCAGATCGCGCCCGCCCGCGGCGCGCTGGACTTCGGGAGCTCCTGCGACGGGGCCCAGTGTGACTTGTTGACTCAGGCGGCGCTCCGCCTGGGCTACCCGCCTGCTGTTCTGCATTTGGAGGCGCAGCGCCGCGGACTCTGGGGCATTTCGGCACGGTTTGTGAGACATTTTCGGTGGGGCGATCGATCATTCAAGGGCTACGCAGCGGCGCCCGTTACGCTCGCTGCATGGCGCATTTCATTATTTCCAAGATTTCCCAGGCGCATGTGAGGCTCAGCCATAAGATTTGGCTTTACGACTTATCACAGAGAATGGTTGGGCCTAGCGAGACTTTGCGATCGCGCGTCGCGGCTTGCTTAGCATATGCGTGTGATGAGCTAGCACGCTGGCAACTGGATGCTTCTCCCAAGTCAGTCGTCGCGTGCTCGTCGCAGAGCGATGCGAAAAAGATCTTGGGGCAACTCAAGTTGAAGGGGCTTTCGTGTACGTGCAGCTTTGCAGGCCCCCTTCCTGGGCATCGACCAGGGAGGAGGGCGCCGTGCGCGGATGACGCGCGCGAAGAGGGTGTTCATGCATCAGAGGCTGCACAATGCATATTGAGATATGCTCGTGCCACTCGCGCTTACCGTGCCACTGACCTCTTGCAGAGGACGAGTGCGGCAGCAGCTGGTGCGTATAGGCATCGCGTTCATGGTCTCTTCGGGGTCGACCTCGAGCAGACTCGATGGAGTCTGGCAGCGGTGATCAGCAACGGCGGACGAGGTCTGTGTAAAACTTCACTCTTGGCTATTCGCGAGCCAGGGCGATACCCTGGTATCAAGTATCCTCAGGAGTGTTTCTGGAATTTTGGCTCAAGCAGTGGTTTCGCTGCCCTTCCAGTCGCGGAGGTGTGCAACGACTCTGGAGTTCCGTCGTGGAGCGCGTTTGCGAGGTATGCCGCGGTCGCGGTGGTCGCGCCATGTCAGAGGACCCATGTCGGCAGTTAGCGCTCACCTGTTGGAGCGGGGCTGGGGCCCCAGGACTTCGACATTGCGGGTCATGCCAGACGGCGCTGAATGGCAATTTCCTGAGGAGCAGTACTCTGAGGTCATGGCGTTGAATGGTCTTCCGTTGTTCTTAGCGGGTTCTGACACCGCTTCTGAACAGTTGTTGTGGCAGAAGGCGGATTATGGCGGGGCAGGGTTGCGCCAGGGGGCGGATATGGCGTCCCTGCGGCTGCTCCTGCACCACCTCGTTCAAGCTCCGCAGTGACGTCGGCCCGCTGAGCTGCTTACGACAGTTGCAGCGGGCGGATCATGGCCTCGCGAGCGACGGGCAGCCATGGCAACAAAGACGTCGGTGGGCCCACTTTGCTCTCGATACACATGCTGTCCAGAATCGGCCTTTCATCGTATCTGGTCGTGTAAGGCGAATTGTGGTGCAGTGGCCTACGAGAGGTCGGGCCTCCTGCTGGCTCAGGAGTGCGCGCAGCACGAGGCCGATGAGGCCATCTGGCTCCGTGGGTTGCTGCCTGCTGACCGCGCCCAGGTCACTGCGCCGCCTGAGGACGACAGCTGGTGGGCGGTCGATTATGATGATGGTGTGTTCACAGGTTGCTTAGGGGCTGGATCCCAGCAGCGACTGATTCTGCTCTTTGGCGACGCGCGCGGAGGTGAAGACTCTGGTGACCCCAAGTTTAGACGGATCGGGGTTGGGCTGTCACAGTTCAATGATGAGTGCGAGATGCAGCTGGTCAGTGCCGCGTCAGGCAGTTTCCCTGGGCGCCAACAGTCGGTGCCAAGAGGCGATCTGTTCATGCTTCTACGTGCTGTGCAGTGGGCTCCAGATTACGTAGTGTATATCACTGACAATCAAGTGGCGTATGATGGTTGGTATGCTCACCTTGATCAGAAGCCTGATGGAGTCAATCGTGATTTGTGGGCCGAAATCGGACACGAGATGGCAGGCAGAGGGAGGTCGCGTGTCACCGTTCTGTTCACGCACAGCCATCAGAGTGCCGAAGACGTTGTTCGTGGGAAGGCCCGTTCTTGGCTGGCGCGAGGGAATCAGGCGGCCGATGTCCTGGCGGGCTGGGCTGCAGCGCGAGTGCGGCTCCCAGACAGCGTGCGCAGCCCCATCCTTGCCCTCGAACACCAGATGTTTTGGATTCGCATGCGTATCTTGAGAGCGTCTCTTGACGCAATGGAGGCTGAAGACCAGGTCCGTGAGTCCGAACAGTCTAGTCGTAGGATGGGCAGACATCGACGTGGGGGTAGGAGTGGTCGCCGTGGACTTAGTGGCGAGAGCCGGGTTGAAGGAGCCGCCATCCCTCCTGGTTTTGGCGCCCCCCCCGTCTTGGTGCCGCCGCCGCTGGCTGACAATGTGATCTCGTTTTTCGGATCCAGCCACCAGCTCGACGAGACTGGTCGTCGGTGTCGTCGTTGCCGTGGATCCGCTTCGATTTCTCTGACGCGAGCCTGGAGGCAGTCCAGTTGTTTCAACCCTGTGATGTTGGATGACGTGTTTTGTGGGCTTCCTGGGGGTGCGAGGGTACACATTTCTGGGGGGTAGGTCGACCCCTCCCACACCATGCGGTTGCATCAGACCCTGAAGATGTGGTTCTGCGCGTGCTGTGGTATGTATGGGGAAAGCAGCTTTTGGGCCTGGGGAAGGTGTGCACGAATCAGGTCACCCCTACCCGTGCCGGGTATTTGAATCGTCTTGAGTGGGGGCTATTCCTTAAGGTCTTTAGTAAGGCCGAGCTCATGCGTAAGGCTGGGGCCCATAAAAAGGGGTCCCCATGAGAGATGCATGAACTTCGCCGTGGAAGCCCTGAAGTCCTGAACTCCTTCTCCTCCTCCTCCTCCTCCTCATCCTCCTCCTCCTCCTCCTCCTCCTCCTCCTTCTCCTCCTCCTCCTCCTCCTCCTCCTCCTCCTCCCCCTACTGCTCCTCCTCCTCCTCCTCCTCCCCCTACCTCTCCTCCACCTCCCCCTTCTCCTCCTCCTCCTTCTCCTCCTCCTCCTCCGCATATTCCTCCTCGTCCTCCTCCTTCTCCTCCTCCTCCTCCACCTTCTCCGCCTCCTCCTCCTCCTCCTCCTCCTCCTCCTCCTCCTCCTCCTCCTCCCCCTCCTCCTCCTCCCCCGTGGCAGTGCAGATCCAAGACATCCGTCCGGACCTCCGAAAATTATATGTTTGTGCCGCTGTTTCTCATCCACGGAAGAAACCCCCAGGATGGTCCCGAGCGGCCCCCGGCCAGGAGCTCTTGCTCAGCGTGTCGCTCCGCCGATTCTGGCCCTCAGCGCTTCGGCGCGGCACGCTGACCATATCCCCATTTTCGAGCGTCGACGCCCCGAGTTTTTCCCAGCCTCCCGTCCCACGAAGCGGAGCAACCCGCTATCCGCTTGCAGGGCAAAACGCGTCGCCGGGGCCGCCGCCGCGAGACGCTAAGCAAAGGTCCCGACCGTAACCACCTAATAATTGGGTGGTTCTTGCGGGGCGCGAGTTTTGCTGAGGGTCTTATTTGGGCCTTTTAGGTTTCCTGGAAGGTCTTCTCTGGATCTTTCCCCCTCCTCCCGGGTTTAGGGGAAGGAGGAGGAGGAAGACGGGGAGGAGGAGGAGGAGGAGGAGGAGGAGGAGGAGGAGGAGGAGGAGGAATAGGAGGAGGCGGATATTTTCCTGGAGCCCCTCCCCCCCTTGTCTGGGGTGGGCTGCGCCTGTGGGATGCCCGTGCGCGGCCGCAGCCCCTGCCAGGGCCCGTGACGCCGGAGCACGGCGTGCTCCGGGCCGACGGCATCGAGGACGGCGAGCGCCGCCACAGGCCAGGAGGGTCAGGAGAGGAGAAGGTGCCGTCCTCCCTCCTCCCTCCTCCCTCCTCCCTCCCCCTCCTCCTCCTGCTCCTCCTCCTCCTCCTCCTCCTCCTCCTCCTCCCCCCTCCTCCTCCTCCTCCTCCTCCTCCTCCTCCTCCTCCTCCTCCTCCTCCTCTGCCGCTGCCGTCGGCCCGCGACAGTCGGCGTCGCGTCACAGGGGAGGCCCATGCCAAGAAACGCCCTGCTCGCCTCCAGGGTGCCCCGGGCTTCTTGGGTCTCGATGGTTTTGCGATGGAGAGGCGGGACGCTCCCGCACCAAAAGTCAATGGACGTCCTGGGGTCTCAGGGTTGGGTTTCTTTTGGAAGGTTTCTTGCGGACGGGCCTCCACTGTTTGGGGCGGGGGCGACAACTGCCTTCGTCTTTCAGCCCTCGCCTTCGTATTTCTGCCCTCGTCTCTCTGCCTTCGTCTTTCCTGCGTCTTCAGGCCTGTTCCCATCCCCGGTGGGCCGGTGGGCCGGGGCCCCTGGGCGTCGCGCTATGTGGGGGGCGCAAACACTGGGGGAGCAGCGACGGCCGCAGAACAGGGGCCCTCCAGGGTTAAGTCGGGCCTGTCCCTCTACATGAGGAATATTCAAAAATAGGTTTAGAATCGTACGGGGGCGATTTTTCGACTATGTTTGATCATTCTTGGGTATTTTTTCGTGGGGGGGCTATTGCTTATTTTTCGTCCACAATCCGCCTGTAGGGGGACATGCCCGACCTAACTCTAGGGTCCCTCAAGGGGCCCTTCAGGGCACCAAACGGGGCCTTTCGGGCCCGCAGAAGTGCACCAATCCTTCCCCCCCCATGTATCGCCCCGCCCGCCCCCCCCCATCGAGCGACGCCCGGGGTTCCTTGGCGCCGCCGGCCTGCCCGCTCGCGGTGGGGATGGGTGCCGCGACGCCCGACGCGGCCGGCATCTATCCGCAGGCAGTGGGGCACGGTCGGGCAGCGGGGCCAGGAGGCTTCTCTTCCCCAGCGGAGGCGGAGAGCGAGGCCGGCCCGAGGCGTAAGATCGGGGTCGGTTCAGGGGAGTGTGTGCCCTGATGCTCTTCGTGCTCCTTGGATCGTCTTGTGCATCTTCCCTCCTCTCGCGGCCGCCCTCCTTCCTTTTCCCCTCTCCTGCACGCCGTCGGGCAATTA